AATATACCAGAGCAAAGTGGGTGATTATATGGCAGTTTATTCAGATCAACTTTCTCTAAGTCATTCCCCAATCTCTTCCATAAAAGTTTCTCGTCCTCCGAACTTGCGTTTGCTACAGCCTAAAACTTTTGTTAGTAAAATAAGACCAAAAAATAAGAAAAAATAAACATACATGAGCTACATTCCCCTTTAACATATTCAAATTTTCTTCTGCGTCATCGATCCAAGATTCTATATCCACATTTTGTAATATTGGCTTAATATTATAAACCAAACCGATACTAAAAAATTTGCTGATTATACATACTAAGGCATTCAACTCTAAAAGTGAGACCATATCTTCAACTGCAGTCATTACCTAAAATCAAGTTTAAAAAATATGTTGTCCGAAATTATATAAAATTGATGGTGCTAAAACACCCGCGCGGGTTCAGATATTGATAAATTTATTCATCATCGGGCCCTTATTGCAGATATTAATCTGACCACAAATGTTGATAGCACACAGTAATAGCATCCAACTACTATCTTCACCAGACTATCTATTACCAATATGCTTCCACATATGCAACCAGAGGACATAAATCATCATGATTACAATAGTTAAATAAATATTAATATGTTCTTACCCGTTGTTTTAAAACTTCACCTTTTCCAAAACTTTGGAGTTTTTCTAGACGCAACGAATCCCCATTTGGAACAAGATTTTTCACTTTTTCTAATGTTTGAACGAAATTCTGGACTTCTTGATCACAGTTTCCAGACCAGCGCCCTGATTCTACACGTTTATACAATGCAGTTGCAACTGTAATAGTTGCTACTGGTTCGAAAGTTAATAAAAGTTTTCCATTATCAAAGTTCGAATAAGACGATATAAAATCACTAATAAAGCGACAAATAGCCATAACTTCGAGATATTGCCCTTTTATATTTTTTTTCTTTCACCTCTTCTCTGAAATTCAAAATGTTAGAAAGGTTAGATAGAAGCAAAAGCATGCGCTCTTACATCAAAAATTTCTACGATAGAAGTTGAGGCATATATTTCCACGCAGAGAAATTTCCGAAAGAATTCTAATAAGTTATTGCATGCGAAGCATGCAATAAGTGGAGTATTTTATGGATGATCTTGATTGATCAATGATCCGGCCGGTACGGCCGGATTTTTGGACAATTAGGATCAAACATAAAATACGACAAGTATCAGAAGTTTAAAATCTTAATGTGCACTTTGGAACCCCGAAGGGGTTCCAAAAGCGCAAATTAAGATTTTAGACTTCTGATACGGCACTTATTGCATGCGTAGCATTGTAATAACGGATTTATTTATTTTTTTACGACGATGAGCAATCATAAAAATAAGTTGTTTTATGGCTTCATCTGTTTTTTATGATACGTCACAACTGTATTTTATGATAGCAATCCATTCCTTAGCCATAATTAATAGCTTTGGATGCGAAGCATCCAATAGCTATTAATTATGGCTAAGGAATGGATTGCTATCATAAAATACAGTTGTGACGTATCATAAAATACAGATGATCACCATAAAATAACTTATTTATTTATGATGCTGATCATAGTAAAAAAAAAATAAAATCGGTGATCGTTAGTTACACAAAAATCTCTGATATTTGATTTTTATATGATACCACATATAGTTTTGATTTATATAGTGCACAGCGCACCCCAATGTCTCATGCCTGCTAATAAAAAATAACGGGGATGAAATTTTACATATAAGAAACTCCAACTTATCGCTAAAGCTCACAACCCTAACGTCCTAATCCTAAACTTCTATTTTTACGCACTTAGTTTATTAACCGTGCCACAACCCTAGCCTATATGCAAAATTTTGTGCTGAACCAAATACGTAAAGGTTGTCTTAGTAGAATTTTGAGATATTTTCAATTTTTCATTTTTTGCTTCAGTTTTAATAATATTTCAAAATTTTATTAAGTCATTTTGCTTTTAAGTAAACGTGTTCAGCACATTCGTTTGTTACAAAAAATTTGATCTGATTGATAGGATTGGAGATGCGAAAAATAAGCATACCACCCTTCTGCGAGATCTAGATTTACCGTTATCATAATTCTTGGGATCCTGATAAAAATTGTCCGAACGATTTTTCGGCCGATTCGGTTAAATTCGTGATTTCGGGAATAAATTGATATATGTGAGTGCCGCCAAGGGATAACCTTATTATCGAGCTTTCAATTATATTTTGCATCGGACACAATTCCTAATAAATTATAATACAAAATATACTGATAACAAGTCTTCTCTTGACGACACTCATATACGTAATTTAAGAACAGGTTACTTTCAAAACATCGCTGGCAAAAAAAAATTTAGAAAGCATGGTTATCCTTTCATTTGGCATTTGGGTGTGACCAATCATTTATGTGACAAATAATTATTTACTATATGTGAGGTTATGACCCTAGCATCCCCAACCTAAAAAATTTCGCTACCAGAGTTAGGGTTAGGTTAGGGTTAGGGTTTGGGTATTTTTAGTTTAATTTTATGTTACACCTGATCTTAAATTTTAATTCGGCCCAATTGTGAAATTTTTTAGGTTGGGGATGCTAGGGTGGTTATGTGAGGTCTTTGCCTTGAAAATGACCTTATGGTATCATGTACCGTAAGGTCATTTTCAAGGCAAAGACCCCATGTGTTTTATATATTAAATATTATTTGTCACATCCAATGATTGGCCACACGGACGAACAATTGTCATAAAGATCGTAAAACAATCATTATAATACAAAATATATAGCTTTTATTATACGAATTCGAACTGGCCGAAAAATCATTCGGCAAATTTTTATCAGGTGTTCCAGAAATTGATAATAGCTGTAAAAATTTAACGCCGGCCGGGCGGGCACTTTAAAAAACTCTTATGAGAAACAATTAACTAACTTTATGTGGCCTAAATTTCATTATCAGCATAGCGATAGTGGTCGTACGTACCTTAAAATATGATAACCGGATTATTAAATTGGTTAACGGGATTAATATTGCAGCTGTTTTTGAAAAATTGTTAATGACCAGTTTTTGATGCCGGTAAATTATCGATTTCATATGTACCAAAAACAACGATAACAACTGTAATATTTAAGATGTTCGGTTAGCTTATCCGGTTACTTAAAAGATAATATAATACATATATGAGCGATGCCAAGGAAAAATGGGACTTCAATCATATAAAACTTAAATAATTGAGGACGTCATTCATATGATATTTATATCAGATATATTAATCATGAATAGAAAAAAATGCAATTGTGTTTACTTAATATGCTAAACAAATGTGAAGATTTCTTTGCTCACCGACAATCATTCCACAGATAGCCCATCTGATATTATATGTGAGGGTTTCGGTGAAATAATTGTCGGTGAAGTAAGAATTGAAATTCTCCTTAGCAAATGTCCCGAATTAGATTCTGTACAATCATTATTCATAATGTAGTCATATGAATAATGCAAAAGGGAAAATGCTTTGTAGAAATTTATAAATACACAGTGGCTCTCGATATAACGTAGTACCTCGGGCACATAGTGCGAGATTTTTTAAAATCCGCTTTATCGTGAGTTTAATTAGTAAATCCATTATGCCAAGCAGTATTTATTATGTTGTGGATCTGAACCTTGATCCATTATATCAAGATTTTACTTAGTCTCCGTTATATCAAGAGTCCGTTATATCGAGAGCCACTGTGTATATATAGTTTTTATAATTTAATAAATAAATTAAAAGTCCAGGTATAATCGTTATAAAAAATTACATGACAGCGCAATTTTTACAGAGGTTAATATCCGGATGTAACCGTTACTCTCTTCGATAGTAATAGGGTGTAAAACCGGTTATTAGGTCACAACCTTTCGGGTAAAAAATTAACCGGGTATGACCGTTATATCAATAAAATGTAGGTGATTAAGTTTTCGTTTATTAAATAAATTTCACACATAACATCGTCTATCTTAAAACAGTCGAAAACGTTTTTTAACATCTCTATGTAAAATATATGATTTCAATCCGGATATTCAATTAGATATCTGGACCAAAGCACTGCATGCAGTCCGCTGTAAAAAAGTTTAGTTACGCTCGCACCCAATTAGACGAATCTTTCGGCCATATGTAAAATTCAATTGAATCTGAAAGATCCAATGTACTTTCTGTCCGCATGATGTGCTTATCCAAATCCAAATCAGGAATATCAGGCTGAAAGTCGCGAACTACCTTGAGCTGGATATAAGATGGACCTTGTCAAAAATTGAAGATATTAATAAATAAGTAAAATAATGTGTAGTCCAACATAAGATATTTACCTGTCCAAGCGCTTTGAGAAATATCGATTTGAGTTTTTAACTGATAGTTATTCGGTTGTGTCGCTACCAAATCAGCTGGTGAAGGACGAAAATGTTGAATAGATTGATCCGGCAAGGTTATCTGCATTATATAAAATGATATTAATAAAAACTTTTTTTTCTATATATAATTTTAAGGTTTAATGCACTGAGAATAATCGCAAACCTGAACAGCTAAAGTGTTTGTATCATCCACGTTGTTCACTTCCGCTTCAACATTAATTGTGAGAGGAAACTGGGATTGGAAGTCTATTGGAGGCGCCGGATTGGGATTAGAAACTGGTCGTATTATCGTAGCTTCGGAACATTTAACTGCATTATTGAAGCCAATTTCTAAAATATTGAAATCCTAAATAGTAATATTGTTGAATTTGATACGATAAATATTTTGATTCATTTATTTTTTAACTCGCATGAAAATTATACTACCAAGATATAGTCAAACAAAGATGTTATGTTAGTGATTGTAGGCTCCATCGTGACCTGCGTGAGTTTTTTTTGAATACGACACGTTTCATCCATCAGAAGTTCGTGTCCCTCGAATTGTCTAAATAATTATTAAAGAATAATAATTAAGTATTTAAAAACATTAGTGTAGAAACGAAATTAAATGGCTGCCACCTTTGCACTTCTGCCACACGTTTGTTAAAGGAATTCAGGAGTATCTGTTGGTTCATAGATGCCACTTGGCCATGAGTCGAAGATCTAAAGATAGCATTAGTAACACAGCCAAATATATTTATATATATATTACATAGATTACATACTTATCAGAATTTTTTGCCAAATGACTTAAAAACCAAACTACATGGGCGAATATTCTTATATGAACCAAAAATTGTCTGGCAGAACTCTCAAGTCCCAGAAAGCCGTATTCCATAACATAAGAAAGCGTTAACAAGTTTACTGCAGTATCTGTCTCTGAGTTTATAGAATTCACTCCCATATAACTTTGTTTAATCTGAGAAAATAAAAGTAATAAGCACATCATAAAAATAACATCAACAATCTTAGCGAATTAGTGCTCGGCAAAATCAAACAAAAATTTGACAGTCAAATACTTGTGATTAAGTCGGACATCAAATGATCGCAGATCAACCAATACTATATATTCAGTTTTAGTTGTTTGATGTCCGATTTAAATGATTGTCAAATTTTTGTTTGATTGTGCCGAGCACTATAGGGAAATATAACATACTTTGATCAAGGCCTTTATACATTCTAAATATTTTAGGAAAAATTTGGCATTACCAGAAAACATGGGTACATGCGATATATATTTCAAGTTGCTAGAATATTAATAAACCAATTAATATATACCATTCTTCATAAGTTGAGACGATCTTATACAACTATTCGTTAGTATACCTTTTACAACATTTAATGCTACGCAATGCTGCCTTAAAATCCCTAACCCTGAATAAATGTTCCAATTCAAGAACAGCTTTTATTGTATTTTCCATAAATAATTGTATGTGCTCTAAAAACATGGGGTTATTAGATAACATTGATATGCATTTATATTCGAAATGATTATAACACTCACCATCATTGTTCGCAGATTGAGCACTTTGTTTGGGTGTCTCTCCAGGAAACTATTTATTAGAGATAGAACGTTAGGTTTCATATGAAGATTATGAACAATAAAGTTATGTACCTTAACATCTGGAAAGCATTGTGGAAATTTGATGCGAAGGTATTCATAATGCCGACTAGTGTATGCAGGCAGCATAGACAATATCTTGGGATTTGAAATTGACGCATTGAATGCCAGAATCAAATGCCCAACATCTACAAGTAATATAAGAGTTAATTAAAATCCGAGTATTTGATAGTCACAAGGACTTTCCAATAAAATTCACCGTCAGCATACGTTCAGGAGCATTTTGGTTGATTTCTTTGGAGATATAACTTGATTCCATTTTGAAGAATTTTGGGACAAAACGCTCTATATGGAAAAAATAAGTTCTTTATCATCATATTAATAAAAAAAGTCACGAAGCAGATAACATACCAATATAATCGCCATGTGTAGATCCAACATGTCCAAAGCATTGATAAATTGACAATTGATCTTCTGGATATCTAGCCATACTAGCTAACAATGATTTAATAAAAATAGGTATTAAATCAGATGATTTTAGCTTCGCAACTCTGAAAATAAGATCATAAGTTAATTACGAATGTGACAAATTTTGATCTATAATTGATTTAGAAGATATATTATTCACCCTAACATTCCATGTGTCGATTCCCGAACCATAGGATCTGCATCGTTGAGCACACTAAGTGTAATTTGCAATAATTCAGAATCCAATTCGATAGGATATTGTGTGCCTATCTTGTGGAGACTTTTGATGGAATTCAATCGCACGAAATCAATTTCATCCTGAAACATATCTAGTACCGAAATCAATGTTGAGGAGTGGTTTTTAAGTGAGATGAAAGTTAAGCATAAATATTATTAAAAATAGTTACCCACAAGAAATTCAACTGATCGTTTCGAAAATTTTTCATTATGCACACATAGTTGACACATCGAATCTGCATTAAAAAACTAATTAGAAAGTTATATTTAAACGTTCTCTAAAGTTGAAATAAATAAATCATTACCGATCGCTGCGTTACGAACATCCTGATATGCATCCTCTAAACCATGAATAAATGCACCACAAGCACTCGATTTCAAAATACGCAATTCTGCTGATTCTACATCTAAATCACCTTCAGGAGTTGGAATAAACCTAGGCTATCATTATATATGTGTTACATTTTATTTCGGTAATGATTGATCTAATTATGTCAACAACTGTATATACTTTTTTGCTTTTACTGTGTCCGGTAATAGGCTTCCAAGACTTTCCATGAGTAATAATCTCTTGACTTAATGTTTCAAGAAGAATCGATTCATCAACTTGATGATAGCTTCCCATTATAGTACATGCCTGTTTGGAAACAAGAGCCCAACTTGTTGAGCATATTCTAAAATGAATCATCATTTACAATGATGATTACGTTAATTCCCAAGATTTACATTGGAAATCTGTCGATGCATCGGCATACCTTACTTCTGACCTTTACAGATCTGTCATTTACCATATCGCAGATTTTGGTAAAAGCATCATCTAGTAATCGAATATTTTGGATTGCGCCATCATCCAACACATAATTTCTCATTTCTTGAGGATAAATGGTACTCAAAACCCTAGAATTTCATTGAATAACCTTATTTGATATGGTCACAATTAAGGAATAGTTCAAATTCAGGACTTGCCATATTAAACTCAGCGTTTCAAAGCGAACTTCTTCTGAGTCATCGGTTAAGCAAGTGACACACAAATTGTATAATGACAAATCTAGTTTACAACCACGCTGATGTAGATGAAGAAATGCCCTGATCGCAGCCTGTTTATCAATTATAATTGACGATCAAGATAAACATCCTTTCAAATATAAAGAATAACGGAATTATGAACATACAGTTCGAACTCTTGGATCGGGGTCCTCTCCAAAACGATGAATCATCTTTTGAATTTGTATTTCATTCAGAAATTCTAGTGCATTTAAATTGTTTTGGCCACCTTTCGTTTCCATCATATTAATAATGGGTAATAACGTTGATAGCAAACCGATACACACTGATCGGATGCTATAATGTAAATCGGTTAGATCGTTACTTGCTTGCACGCAAAGCAATTGCAACATATTTATTGAAGAAGGATGGAAATTTATATTTTCAATCTGTAAATCGATAATAAAAATATGAGAATTCACAATAGTTAAAAAAGAAAAAAATTATAACAATATTTATATTGTATACCTTTAAAATGTCATGAATTGATTCATATATCCGACATTTGATTTCAGTCGAATTAGATCGCTCTTTACAACACTAATCGGTAATAATAATTAATATGATAAATTAATAATATGAACGCGTAAATAAAACTAGTATTAAAATAATCATTACCTGATTAATTAGATTATCAAGTATTTTTCCACGATCTATTGATTGGTCAAGTATTAATTTTTCCAATAGTATGATAGCAAGGTTCTAAAGTATATAAATCGTTAGTTTTGAGTGAATAACCTACAAATGTAATAAAATAAATGAACCTTGACATCCTTCTCTTCTTCCTTATAAAGAAGTTGCTGAAGTTTAGAAAGTAATTGTGTTTTTGTATCTCCGCTCAGAGTTGGAAATAATAATGCGAATCTGTGTAATGCCTAGTATAAATTTCTATTGAATAAGAAAAACTATATATGAAGACGCAATATATATGATGTTTAGACTCACATAAATTCTTTTTTTAACTTCCGAAGACAGCAATTCATCCAATTTGACCATTAATTCGTCCTATTAAGTAGCGACTATGTAACCAGCATTTTAGAAGAGTTTTCATTGTATAAAAATTTCTTACATTTATCGAATCTGTCGAAGTGAGTTCGTCATCAAAACTATACACTATTGATTGCACTGAAACATTTTTAAAGAGTGCATTTAATGAAAATGAATTAGCGGATAAGTCAAGGGATTATAATCGTAGCTTACTGTCTTCAGGAAGCGCGCCTTGATTTCCAGCTAACAGCGGATCCATGAAATTTGCATTACAATACTGCAATATCGTGTAATACAATAATACTTATCACTTATCATGTGACTTAAGACTCACGATCCTAAATCCTTGATCCAGATCAGAGATTTTTACTCGGATCGGTCTAAGAACTTAAATGACGGACCTAAAGACTGGCATATGAATATTATATTATATTACTCTTGGTTTAGCCAATCAAATTATTTTGATAATTTTACTAACGTTATGGCATGCCACAATAGCATACAGTATCTAATAGTGGCATGTATAGAAATATAAAAAATTTTGATTTACTATATATCAGATCTGTTATTTAAAACAAAATAAAAAATAAAAAAATCCTCTAACAGAAATATAGTTTAACTAAAAATCTATCTGTCAAAGGTTTTTTTTTTGATTTAGCTTGTTTTAAAAAAGTTATAACAAAAAGTTTTACTAATAAAAAGTAAATAATGCATTCTACTATGCAGTACTGTATATAGATTTTGTAATTATATCATTAATGTGCGAATTTACGTGATGACTGCTTCAACTAGGTATTAATATTTTACACTTTTTTGTAGCCACACTCAGCATATTAAACCAATCTCAAGTAATTGTAGATGTTTTATTTTTTTTTTAGTATCAGCAAAACATGAGAGTGAATGTGTTGGTTAGTTCTAATTATATGTACAGAGATAGAATTGGACAATGAACCGCTGTAAATGTAAACGAAAGCAATATACGGAACAAGAAACGTACAAATAAGGGAATGAAATAATAAGTGAATAATCAAGAAAAAAGGTAATAAAAGAAAAAAGGATCTAAACAAGTTGGTATAAAAAATAAGGAGAAATATATTTCAAACCATTCAATCTATACGAGCCTTCTTGTTAGCGTCTTATAATAAAAATAATAAATTGAGATTAGTAAATTATTTCAGCTATTTGATTAAATGATATTTCAATCATACCTTCATTATCGTCCGCGTCAGGTCTCTCTCGTTTTCCTTGGGAGACTATTGTCTCATTATCACTTATCTCATTATCATTTATCGTTGGATCAAACTCACTTGCAGTATAATCAGCCGCCCATTCGTCATCAATCGGAGCGAGCAGATCATTTTCTTTTGAATCATACACACTTGAGAAATCATATTCCTTACCGTCACCAAGTTCTAAAAAAAAAAATGCAAAAATATATATGTTTAACATAAATACCATAATTTAATAGTTAATTTGAAGATATAGGCTATTTTAATCTAACCTGTTATTGATGGTATATTGTCGTCAATATCCTCTTCAGGCTCCTTTGACATCTCTAAAATGTTTTGTTCATTTATTTCTGACGTTTCAACGTCTATACCCCCCTTAATAATATTACTATTATCTAGTGTTTGATCGTAATAGGATGAAGATTCATCAAAGTTCTCAGCTAAATCATTAATGTCATTTAATGGGTCTTCATTAAAAATATCTTCACGTAAGTCATTATGTTTATCACTAGGTAGATCATTTGATTCTAGTTGTTCATCAAGAGGTTTCACTTCATCATCACCTAAATCTACATAAGGCTCTTGTGCACCAACATATAACTCATCGGTTTCACTATACGACCCTTGCGTTTGATGATAAGTTTGAGAATCTTCGTCATAAAATTCATGCTCATCATTTTCCCATACACTACCGTCATCTTCGTCACCGGAATAAGGAGGAAGATCTATTATTGTAAATGTGCATTATAATTCATTCTAGGTAAACACGCAAGCATATTATATAACACTTAAAGGACATACCATCATTTACTTCTCTAATACCGTTGAATTGTTCGTCATTTACATCTTTAGACAGTGGCAAAGACGCGTCTTTTGATGGTTTAAAAAATGAATTACCTGTCCCAGATACTTGGCCTATTTTTCTTGTGACGTCTTCACCGGGAGATGTTGGCAAAACATTATCGCCATCATCGAAGGGTTCAGGTGAAGAGTCTCCGACGATAATTGGATTTTGCGCCCTCTCGCCGGCGACATCTAAAATAAGATATATGAAATTTTTTTATATAATTAAATATATTAACATGCAAAAAAACAAATAATTCTTTCATAATTTTAATGATGAAATTAAAAAATGTGTACCATCATATTTTCGGTACTGTGAAATGAATCTGTCTTGTAAAGTCATTACTACGTGAAGATCTGCCGTATTAAGATCACGAGATTTTCGATATTTATTATGAACATTAACAATTTTGCCAAGAGTAAACTCTTGTGAATATTTATTGTCCTATATACATTATAATTAAGCCTTAGTTTAGATTCAATAGTTTAATGACAATGTATAATTAATTATAACGATACCTGAGACAAAACTAATCGAAAATCGTCAATGGTTGAATCTAAAAATGTCAACACCACCTCACGATCTTGTGTTTTTGTCACTAATGAGGTCGTCTTTGAGATCTTGCATTAACTCCCCCAAGCATTTATCAGACTTGATATATATATGATTCTTTTGGCCTTCATATTCCAGGATGCAACGGGATTGTCCACTATTTGAATCGTCATTTTCTTTTGGGGGTGATTGCTTACCGAAATAAAGGTCTGATTCATTTTCCAAATCATCAGGTATGACCCCGTCATCGATGTTATCTAAATCATCATCTTCAAGAACAATTACATTTTCATTGAAAGATTCATCAGCTGTATGTAATCCGATTTCCTCTGATAAGAGCTCTGTATCATTCTCGCCAAACTTATATACAGGCTCTTCTGAAAGTTTCGTTTCCGTGTCGGCTTGTTCTTGTGTCATTTTAATTTCTTCTACACGCTCAGATACATCACCTCTAAAATCACGCAAAAATGTTTCGTTACCCTGTTGTAGTGGTTGTTGATTTTCTTTTTCTTCCTGCTGCGCACTTATCTTCCCAGTATATTTTAGCGAATCTGCTTCTAATAATTTGAAGAACTCAACATCTTCAGCAGAACTAAGTTTATTATAATCCAAAGGGATATCGTCATCGATCAGAAGGTTATCGGCGTTTTTAAACCAACTTTCGTCAATGTCCTCGTTTACTACAGCGGCGCTCATTTCTTGAGGCTTGTTTACCGAAAGTAATTCCGACATCTAAAAGCGAAAATAATTAGTAAAAAGACGAAAATAAAATTAAAGATATACTTTATTAGTTTTGCTTCTTCACGACTTCAACCGAATTATCGATATTAGTGTGATTCTTAATAATATTTTATTTATGAAAATAACCAATCATAATTTACATTTTAAAAAAAATGATCGTCTAAGCGTAACATTCATTGGAAGACTTTGTGTGATTGGTTATTTTGGTAACTATCGCAAAATCAGTTATTGTTAACGTTTATATCTTGCCACTAGTGTTATTAGAAACTTGGTCGACTAATATTATGAAATATGTAAAAATATGCTGCACATTTTTACATGTATAAGAGTGATATTACTAATTAGTCCACTGTCTCCGAATAACAAAGTTTTAATTTTAATTACGTACTACGTAGACCGGTGCTAGTTGATATATCATAGTTATGACTTGTATCATATTGTAGACAAACTTTCTTCTGATACGCTGATATAATTCAATTGCCCAGATAAATTAATTGAAGTATACTTTTAAAACAACAAAATCATTACTGTTTTATAAAAGCCATTTTTAGTTTTTATATTAATGAATTACAGTATCTATATACAATACAGCAATAAAGATTATTTGTTAATTAGTAAGTTCATAAACAAAAAACATACGTAAATACTTTATTTTAGTCTAGGGATATATTTGGAATCCGATTTCTAGATTTAAAATCCGAGTTCTAGAATGATCGGCGAAATTTGATTGGCTCTGTCACGCTTTTTTTATGCTCTCTTCTCTTGAGGGTTTCACAAATTTTTATACTATTAACCATTACTAAACGATATATGAATAGTTAGTTTAAAAGGTCTACTTTCGATCATCCCAATTAATTCCTTATTACAAGAAGATTTAAAAAAAGTAAATAAGACCTTAAGATTATAGATTTCTTGATATATTTATTATAATTTGTTAACTAAACGTTCTTCTGAACAATTTTTTTGTAGTGGCACAATACAAGAAACAAAAAGCTCAAGATCACATATACATTTTCGCAGATTTAGTTGAGACATATAAAGAAGTTGGATTAAGCTTTTGTGAAACCAAAGATTGAATGCAGATGGTCCGAAAGCAGTTAAGCGACTTACACTTTTTCAAACTTACTTTCTTGAACTTGTGAATTACTCTTTAGAATCCCATTCACTTTGTTAAACACATTATAATCAAATTGTTACATCTAACCATTTTTATCAACATCTTTTAGATTTTTTTGATTCTGTTCAAGAAAGTCGACTTGATACTAACATGGATATTCAGACTACTAGTTATGCTAATCTAAGAATTGAGCTTGACAATGCTAAAAGGATTTTAAAAAGTGTTGAGCAAGAAAATACAAATCTTCGCAACAGAATTGAATGACTGTGGCAATTTTTTGAAGAACAAGAGAAAGAATTAAAAGAATTAACTGAAAAATTAAGACAAGCCAATGAAGAAGTAAATATATTCTGAAGCTTGTATAATGACCAGTATGAAAAGAATAGAGTTCTTATTAATCAATGGAAATCAAGGTTTTCCAGTCGAAAAAAACATATTGATGCAGTTGTTGAGATAGCGAAAGCAGAACGCGAGCTATTATTTGATGATATTGGTAAATTATTACTCTGTTCTTGCAGTAGATTTCTGAGATTTATAATTTTAATACCTTTTTATTTTTTTTTTTTATAGATTTATTAATTCGTAGTAGCAACAGGTTTTCTTTGAAAAGTCTTATAAAATATAACCCGCGTGAATAGCTTGATCGATGTAACCAAGTTGTTGTTAAATTTGTTGAAACTCTAGTTCAAAATAATCAAATTACAGATAGCTTAAGCCAGGAAAAGCTTTTTAAAATTGTTGTTGCAATTAATTCAATATATGGTGCGAAACATAAAAAATATGTGTCGGCTATAAAATATTTAATTGCATGATCAAAGATGGTCATTAATATCAATAGCCATATCACAAGCTCAGGAAGTTATTATAGATTCCAAAAATGGCTTGAAGAACTTTCAAAACATAAAGAACCATTGCCCAAAGGCTTTTTATTTCTTGCCTTTGATAATAAGCAAAAGGGGCAAAAAAATTATCTTGATCAGAGATTTAACACAGTTATTTACCATATTGTCACTAGTTTCATTGCTTTTAACATAGCATTACAAAACAAAATTCAACATACTTTCAGTTCTTGACAGAGCTAACAAAGTCACCTAACACATGTGTAGGTCAGTGCGACAAGTCATATCTAGACGCAGCATCTGTAGCCGGATGATGCCGGGCTTGCAATTGCAAAGAACATTTACTAGAAATAGATTTTATTTTAGAACAGATTTCACTATATAAATATTTGTATTTAAGTACCGACAAGGCTGTCAAAGGATTAAAAAAAAAAATAAAAAAATTCAACATACTAATTCACCTTGGGCATGTAATTCTCCTAGCAGGTCTCAATACGAAGAACTTTTTGACATCAGTCCCAAAATGCAAGAAGTCATCGACAAAGAATTATATTCTTATTTGGCCAAGGTTCTTATATTATTATCTAAAGAAAAGTTCTCTACTAATATCATCGATTCTCTTGCAGCATCTATATCATCTAATGTTACTAAGATGAAATTTTGTCCTAGCTGCAACCTTCAAAATATTGAGAATCGAAAAAAAAATTGTCCAAATTGTGGAACACAGCTGCCAACATCGGCTAAAATTCAAAAAGAGAAGACGGATGAAATCGAAAATAATATAAATAAGCAATTATCTAATCAACTTATTTTTAAACAATATAGAATTGACGATAAGCAAGACGATACTTCTACTTCTAGAATTAGCCATACCCAACATATAACTGATCAATGAGTTAATGTTCCCGAAATCTATATTTCTGATCCGATTAACTTTAATCCTAATTCGATAACAAATATTAAACAAGTTCTTTTGCATATAAAGAAAATTTCAGGTATTAAGAACAGAATTCATAAGTAGGTGGTAGTAGTGTATGATGATGTTCTATACCACTATACTACCAAGTTAAAAGAGAAGTTTTCTTGGTTGGTTTTAATACCTAGGCAATTACATGAAGAAATGAATATACTTCGTGCATATGTAGAATTGAACTAGTAACCTATTTAAAATTAGCATATTGGTTACAGTTTGAGTGTGCTATTTTATTTTATTGTTTTGGTTTATTATTATTATTATTTTAATATATTATCTATTCATTTATTTTAATTAGAGAAATAGATTTAATGTGATTTATGAAGTACTAAAGTTATCAAACCAAATCAACTCACATATTTTAAAAAATGCTCTGATCATTATAAGTTGTGAAATTCTATTTGCATTATATACTGGTAAACAATGGCTATAGAACTTTTATGGCCATATGTAAAAAATTATCCAAACCTATCAGTCAAGAGATATCTTACTTGGATTAAGATCTGCTTTACTATATAAAATATAAGTAGATCAATTTTAATTATTTTATTCATTTATGACAATTAACAGAATGATAATTTGATATTTCTTATTATAATGGACATTTGTATACCTCCAAGCAATTGTCAATTATTGAAAGGCCATAAGAATCAATAATTCACTTTTGAAAAGGGCTGCAAAAAGAGCATTTTTTCTATTTAGTCTGTGGGTGCTAACCTATTTATCAATTAATAAAAGTTACTGATAAAGTTCAATTAATGCAATTTAGTTCTAAAATATGTGAAATCATAAAGAAAAATTGTATTGTTTCTTGATTTGGAATTTATGAATAGTATCAAGAATTAGATGTAATTATAAAGGAAATAAATAAATCTTTAATAGCTCTAATATCTCCTATTTCACAAAATCAATATTAAAAAATTGTAGCACGTAATTGTAAAAAATTTTTAAAGATAAACTTGAACTTAATAATGATCTTTAATTTTTATCTATATTTTATTTAAGTTATTAAATTTCAATTGAATCCCAAATTTAAATTATAACTATTTTAGCTTAGAGCTAACTTATTTAATATAATTAGGTATAATGATTGTTAATTATCAGGGCTAAGAACTTGGCAAGATTCAACTGTGAAATATTAAAGATTTCATGCTTTTTTGCAAGATTTTAATTTCATAAGCCCAGAGAATATGAGAAATATTTGTCAAAGTTTAGACAAAGAATATAAATTGGATAAAAATTTAAAAAATTTTAAATGTTTGGCAAAAATAGCCTGACAAGAGTTTATTATTAAACTTTTATTAATAAAACTAATTTGTTTTATTTTAGGCCAATACCAATTACAATACAAGAAGCTGATGCTTAGAAAAATGAACAAATATAAAGAAAGAAGATATTTTGTTTAAGATAGAAACTCTTTTTGAATAGCTTGATAAATGTGCCAAGAATAAATATTCTAAAATTAAGTTAAAAAATCAAAAGAAATATTAGAAATACTATAAGAAATTAAATGCTTATTTAATGCAGATCATGAGCTTAACAATCAAGATTGTCTAGAAGATTTAGAAACAGATTAATAGTAATTGTAATTTATAGTTTATATCTATTAATATACCTAGCTGTTCAAAAGTCATTATACACTCCTTATTATTAAGTAGCCTTATATATAAAGATCAAAATAATTATTTATACAAAATTATGATAATTTTGTATAAATAATTATTTTGATCTCTATATATAGAGCCACTTAAAAATATCTAGTATATAGTGCTTTTTAACACTTGGAGTATATGTATTTATTTGCATTTTTATGCAATAAGAATTAAATTATTTTATCAAGTTATATGTATAGCTAAGTAGTTTAAATATTTTTTTGTTTCAATTAGAGTTTATAATTTCTAATAATATTTTGCTTTATAATCTTAGTTATTTTAGGATATGCAGATTCCAGGTACTGTATTATGTTTAGCATAGTTTTAATATTCATAACAAGAGTGTGGCAATATAGTAAAGTGGTTAGGTTGTC